CGTGACCAAGTGGCATGAGGGGTAGCCTTGCATACTGATGGGCAACTCACAGACCACACCCTATAAACTCCAAAATGCTGTTCTGACAGCCTCAATCACGACCGGCCTTCCTGCTCCTGCTCTCCCACCCTGGCTGTCTGGGAGTTTCCATCTTCCAGAATACACACATCTTTGGGATGGGCTGCCTGCAGTGTGGGTAGAGACCAAACCCTTGCCACTCTAAGTGCACCCTGCACAGCCTCAACATAGCCCGGGATGTGCCAGAAATGCAGACCCTGGGGTGGGCTGCCTGACCTTTGGAATCAGACCCTGCCTTTCAACAGCCCCCATGCAAGGTGATTCGTGCAGATACTAAGGTTTGAAAAGCCCAGGAGCTACATGCTTTCTGGAGGCCTTGGCAGTAAAGTTCTGCTACCCCAACAGAACATTCCTTGGGCCTTCTGTTCAGAATGCTGCCTCCAGGTGGAGGGTGGGAGGGTGGCCTGAGTCTTTTCTGTGTGCCCAGCACCAAAGCACCACCCACCAAGAGGTTTTCGAAAGAGGGAGACACCAGTGATCTGCTCCACAGGCACGGGAGGCTTGGCCGTGCCTGGCCCCTAGGATGTCTCTGTGAGGCCCAGTGTTCACCACAGGGACCCCAGGCCACAGCATCACAGCACAAATGGGGCTCTGTCACCAGAACCACAGAGGCATCCCTCCAGGGGCTCTGCGGCTTTGAAGTCCTGGGAGGTGGTGTTAGCTGCTGCGATTCTTGGATTAGCAAGGCCACCGCCACTGTGACCTGGGACACCCCTGCTACCCACTTTGGGAAGGAGGTCCTGGCATTGCCATCCACTGCCAACTGCACTGCTTCAGCACTGGCCTTTCTGTGGCCTAGACAAGAGACACCAAAAGCAAACACTTCCTGCTACCAGGAGCCCAATGAATGTCCCTATCCAGGGAAGAAGACAGCAGCAAGACAAAGACAGGACCTCTCCGCCTTGCCCTTAGCATCCTTTTTCCCTAGCCAAATAGTATGGTAGTTCTTCCCTTCCTCCTAGTCAGGTCCTCAAGGCACCCAGAACCAAGCCCTGCCCAACGCTAGCAAAGAGAAATATGGGTCCCAGGTTCCTCCTAGGAAATGCTCTCCAGTGGTGCTGGCAAGAGTACCTACTCCAGTCAGCTGCTCCCTATTAGGACCCCTAATCTGTAGATTAGGAAACTGAGGCACAAACCACAAAACCCCTTGCCGGAGTCAAGGCTGGGCAAAAGTGCCCAAAACCAAGGCAGTTTAGCCCAGTTCTCTACCAGCAAGACTTCTCCAGGCCTGTGATGTGACTCTCCAAGGGGAGGTTCAGCCATGACCTCACTCTTGATTTTTCCCAAGATAACGCCAAGGGCAAGCGCTCTGTGGACCCACATAGGCAACACGTCTCCAGGGGTTGCCAAGGAAAAGCTGGCCTGGATAGATGGCACCAAGAGACTCACATTGTTGGAGGCACAAGTTTGGGAGCTCTGGACTTAGATAATAAGAACGGAATTTGTCCCTTCTCAAGGGTACAGATGCAGGACGGCCGCATCCACCCACCAAATGCTAGCGATAAAGCTCCAGGCCCCAGCAACCCCACCATCAACACCTCAACCATCCTGCTGGGTCCTCATCCAAAGAGCTTTCTAGGCCGCCCATCCTTCTCATCCCACCTTGCAACAGCCAAGAGCCAGCACCCCAATCCTCAGTCAGACTGGCACGGACTGTTTGAATTATAACAGTAGACTTGAAGGTCTACAGGCTCCTACAGGCTCCGAAATTCTATTACTTATAGACTGGGCCCTTCAGGGGCCATAGTTTAATGAATCAAAGAGAACATAAATTCAATTCTTTGAGAGCTAAGGTAGCTCCCACTTACAAGAGGCCTGCTAAGTGCCAGCCATTTGCTGGGCACTATATACCCATTATTGCCAACACTCCTTGTAAGAATCCTACAAAGCATCTTCATGCTCCTTTGACAAATGAGAACATCAAGGCTTAACCTGACTGCCAGCCACAGATGCCTGGCTCATGGACGTGAGTGCCAGCCGTGGCCTTGGGTCGGTCTGACTGTGGTCTGTGGTGTACTAACGGGTGCCTTTCCATCAAGTGAGCCAGGAGCAAGAAGCACAGGGCAACAAGGGCAGACCAGCTGGTGCTCTCGTGACTGGGACCTGAGAACTTCTCCAAGGCCATCCCAAGTGATCTCATCACAAAGGACTATCTGAAGGTCATCCGGTGTGGCCGATCCCGGGACAGGACGGGAGAGATGAGGCACCAAGGCCAATCTGGAATCAAGAGATCCAAGGCACCAAAGCCGCAACCTTGACTGAATGTGCCTGGCCAGACCCAGGGTAATTACCAAGCCGTAATGGGATCTGATATTTATATTAGTCACGAGCCCGATAGAGAAAATGCGTTGTTTTCTCAGACACAGCCATGGAGACAACACCTCAATAATTCATTACAGCCAGACCATCCTTGATCAAGCCCAAGCTCCTACAAGGACAGCAGCTCAAATGGAGAACAACAAGCCCCACAGCAAACCCGCTCCATCAGGACGCTGACCTCAGTTTTCCCAGACATTCATGGGGAAGTAGGCTGCATGCTAGAAGGCGAGCAGAAGAAGGCTAGAGACACATAACTAGGTCCAAGGCTGAGTTCCTAAAGGGGCTGCTAAACTAGAAACTTTACCCCAGGTGAAATCCCAGAGCCGGAAGGTACACGGGAATGTGCAGATTCCAACCCTCACGTTTTACACACAAGGAAAGACACACCAGAGAGGTTAAACAACTTCTTCAAAGTTGTGTCCTTATTCAGGCTTGCCAGTGTTTTGCCAAACACAAATGCGCAGCCACAAAACACAGCAGCTCTCTGTTCACTACAGTCTGAGGCTGGACTGGACCTTAAAATGTCAAGGCCAAGAGAACAGAGAGCACTGATGAAATCCAACAGGGAAAAAGAAAACACTGTGAAAAAGTACAGCACAGAACACGGTACTAGAATGATTGCGCCCAAGTTCTCACCCAAGAGAAAACACAGTAAGTTTTTTTTTCTTTACTTCCTTAAAAAAAAACTCCACATTCCATTCTTTTCAAAAGTACATACTAAAGTCACTGGCTCTATGCTATTTGGAGGCTAAAGGTACTGAGCCAGAGGCTCCTTATGACATCAACAGTCCCGGGCCCCTCTGATCAAAAACAATGGTGCAGTCCTAGACCACATACGTGTGATTTCAGAGCTCCCTGCTGAGACTTCTCTCTGCCCGGAGTCTCCGATGTTTAAAAGGCAGGATGCCAGTTCGTGCTCAAACCAGCGTGGGTCTAGAAGAGGGTGAGGGTGAGGGTGTTCGTGAACATGTCTCAGGATGGTCGGACTCTGCAGAAAGGCAGCTAAGGTTTGCTCAGGAAAGCTAGAACTAAAATAATAGTGCTCGACTGGAGCCAAACACTTTCTTCTGCAGGTCAGGACAAAACTCCCAAATACTTGGAAAGTAAAAAGAATGAAGGTCTAGGGCCGGGGATTTAGCTCAGTGGCACCGCGCCTGCCTGGCAAGCACAAGGTCCTGAGTTCAATCCCCAGTATCAGAAAAAAAAAAAAAAGAGAATGAAAGACCCCCCCCCCAAAAAAAATTGGGAAAAGAATGTAGACCTCAAGGGTAGGAGGAAAAGCTTATAAAAGGCCTGACTTACTATCACTGGTTATAATGACCCAGCTACAGGCGGTTTAGATAAAGAAATCAAGAGGCAGGTATTAAGAGATTCTGGGGGCATGCTCTAAAATGAACTCACAATATCAAAAATAACTTGAGCTCATTCTGTGTTGGCTTCACTTCTTTTCAATTAACCACAATCATCTCGCATCCCAGCCTGATTCCTTATAGAAACTTCCAGCTACATACACTCAGCTGGTCTTAGAGCTACAAAAGATCGCCACATATTTACAGATTGTTTTTTTCTAATGACCATTGCCAAAAACCTACTTTCTGTAGAAAACTAACAGAAGTTATGCTTGGTCATCACTCAGGAAAGAGATTCTTTCTGTGAACTGTCTGATGAGCATCTCACGATAAGCACTGCAGTGGCATTTATGTTTTCCCCCCCAGAGAAAAGACATTTTAGAAGCTGTGTTTAAAACCCCAGGATCACAAAACCACCACATCCTATTTTGACTCACTGAAAAGAAAAGTTTTCATTATGATCAAAATTGCCCAGTTCCGGGAAAACAGGAGATTGTTAAAAAGTTCACCAAAATCAAGCCATCTAGAAAATATTTTAAATGCCTGCAACAGTCAGCTACCTTTCCCCTTAAGGACAGCTGCAGAATCCCAGTAAAGGGGGGAAAAAATCCCAGGATTGAAGCCTGTAGGGGAGGTGGCAGAGACAGAATGTGTGAATAAAAAGGCTCTATGAATAAGCTCGCTGTTAAGAGATGAGCAGGCTGGAGTATCCCAGGGACTGTGGTTAGAAGCTTTCTTCATAGAGGGCTTCTGTGGAAGGTAGGGTCCTCCTTGATGAGTAAGGGGGAACCTCTATCACCCAGAAGGTAACTTCAAACAAAGGTGGCTAGCAACATCCGGAGCCCTCCAGAGAAGCAAGAGGAGAAAGAAGATAATAATGGTTTTTATTTTTCTCCCTTATTCCGACACACTAGCATTTTCCAAAATACAAATGCGCTGCCACAAAACAGAGCTGAGCTCCAGCACCCAACTCGATGTATAATTAATGACCAAGGGAAAGCACTCCAGCTCACCCTTGCTTTTTATCGTCAGCCTTCACCCCGAGCCCCTGGCTCCCCAATGTCTTCCCTTAGTGCCCAGGAGGCTGCTACAAGTTGCAGCCTGTAAAGTTGGAGGGGTCCTGGGATTAACTTTACCAGGAAAGGTGTAAGCACGTGGGACTGCGATGCGCATCTGCCTGGCCCTCTCTTCCCCTACACATCCCACCCTCACAAAATGTGGGTGCTATGAAGCCCTCACTCAAAAAGAAGCAGCTCCATCCCTTTTTGCCAGTTCTTTCTTTTTTATTCTGCAGCTTTCTATCAAACACAATTCTCTTTCCCTCGTCGCCCACCTCTAGCCACTGGCGGATGGCAGAGAGGGACATCTCAAGGGACATGGCCGCAGACCAGTCGGCCTGCCTAGCAACCATACATCTAAGGTGTTGGGAGCCTCGAGCCTCGGTACTGGTGGGTGTCTGAGCCAGGAATAGCCCGAGGCGGCATCAGCCAGGAAGGGGCCCCTCAGAAACACCGCGGTCTCCACCGACTCAGCTCGCCCCCACGCCCCAGCTCCAGCTCCGCGCGGCTGGTGGCATTTCCGGGGACCTAAAGTGGGTGGCCTTGGGGGGCGAGAGTACACAGGCGGCCAAAGAACTTGGGGTGGAGTATGCGCTATAAGAAAATCTAAGGGATGGAGTGGGAGGTAGCATCAGAATTGTCACCTCGCCGTGTCCCTCAAGTGGCAGCCCCGTGGGTTGCTTCCAATTCTGGGGTGGATCTCCCCAACTTTCTCTCGCCCTCCCCCGCTAAGGAACACCACTTTCTGTGGCCATGGTCCTCCCAAGGGATTCCCTAGCTCAAAAGATTCTCTCCCTTGCCTAAAGGACCTTCCCTTCTTTCGAACCCCACGAACTCATCTCCCCAACAGGTTCCTGAAGTGTGGGCTGCCGCGTTCCCTTCACCCTCCGCGAGGAGCTTGGCCTCGGCAGGTCAGCGCGGCCCCAGCTTCCTCCATCCCGGCGGGGGTGGCTCTCCTCGCCCCGCACCACGACACCCGAAAGGCGCGCGTCTCCCACCCCGTCCCAGCCGCCACCGTCAACAACCCTACAATAAACAAGGGGACGGGACGGGCGTCCGGGTCCTGGCGCGCACCGGCAGGGGGCAAGTCCTCGACCCCCGCGCGCCGCCCGCCGCGCCAACCGAAGCGCAGGGAGCGCAGAGGGCAGGGAGGCCGGCGCGGGGAAGGCGGCTGGGACGCGGGCGGCGCGCGGGCCGAGGAGTGGGCTGCGGCGGGCGCGGGGGACGGGCGCCCGGGTCCCGGCGCGCGTTACCTTAGTCTTGCCCCCGCAGTGACAGCAAACGGTCCACAGGTACTTGAGCGTCCGCCAGAGCAAGATGATGAAGAGGCCCCCGAAGAAAGTCACCATGGAGGAGGCCAGGAAAGCCCACCACATGCGCTGGCCCCGGCTGTCGCACGGCACCTCCATGGTCACCGGGATGATGAGCGCATCCATCTTGGGCTCGTGGACCGAGGACGAGGAGGAAGAGGAGGAGGAGGAGGAAGAGGAGGAGGACGCGTCTAGGCTGAGATGGTTCGCGTGGATATTGCTGCTCATTCTAAGACCGCTGCCTCCGCTGCCGTCGCCGCCGCTGCTACTACTGTCGCCACCGCTGCCGTCGCCACCATTTGCCATAGCTAGCCGCGGGCGGCCGGCGCAGGGGCACGGGGGAGCTCCTCCCGCCGCCAGCGCCACCCCGAACACCCATCCACAGCCATGTTGCTGCCACCGCGGCCGCCGCGGAGCGCGGGGAGGGGGCGGGGAGGCGCTGGGCTGGGGCGCCGTGCGCGACCTGGCGGGGTGCGCGGGGATATATACAGCC